ATCCACCCCCCCAAGCCCCCCCCCCCCCCCCCCCCCCGCCCCCGGAACCGCCGCCGAGCAGGAGCAGCCGTCCATGACGCCCGCCGAGGCCGCCATCGCAGACCTCCTCCGCGCCAAGCTCCAGCCCACCGAGCTCCTGGTGCGCGACGTGTCGGGCGGCTGCGGCAGCATGTACGCCATCGACATCGCGTCGCCGGCCTTCAAGGGCGCCACCATGCTCAAGCAGCAGCGCATGGTCAACGCCGCCCTGGGCGACGTCATGCGCGGCTGGCACGGCGTGCAGCTCAACACGAGGGTTTCCGAATGAAAACGGCCCAAAGTAAACAAATCAACTTTCTTTCCTCTTGACTCGCTTGACTCGCTTGACCGCCGTAAACGACAAGGGTCTAGAATATGCGTTGCGGCTTGGACATTGGGGCGCGGATCCGTACAGGGAAACGTAATATATACATGGACGGCACTCACGGTAACAAAAATAGAAGGGTGGACGCGCGGCGCGTGCACTATACAAGATGTAATAATGCTGTACTATAGAATGGTCCGGCCTTGGGGCGTAGTTGCTCAGGCATACAGACACAGACACTTCCAACATACGGACACAATGACAAACCAATTTTCACTCGCCAAAAGACATGGCTATTTGCGACACGCACAGCATCCACACATTTCATGCACAAGTACATACACAGTCGGGCAAAAACTTTCCATTTAAACATGGGTTCGTGATTACAGCATATCTAGTTAATACATTGACAGCCCAACGCCAAACGTCATTACACTCCTTTATAATGTATGTGTGCCTAGTTCAGACATGAGGAAAAAAAAGGCCAAATGAACAGGACAATAATGCTCCTCCAAACATCATTTTCCTCTGTAGAGTATTTTCCTCCCTTGTTCCCCCACCTTTTTTTTTTTCAACTATTCCTTAAGGTACTTGAGAATCGCCTCCCGCTCCTCAACGGGCATGACTCTCAGTACCTCGCGAACACCCTTCCATCCAGCAGCCTTCTGCGTGCGGATCACTTCAGCGACTTCCGCTGAAAGGTGCTCTGCCTTGAGGGCATCAACCTTCTCTCCAATAGCCTTTCTCTCCTTTTCGTACCACTCGGCAACTTCTCTATCACTGTTGTCAAAGTTGACAATCCCGGACCAGTTTTGCAGCAAGTGCAGGTGGCCAGCTCGCAGATCAGTGGCCTTTGAGGGGCTGGAGTCGTGGGATGGCGACAAGACACTGCTGGCCATGCGTCGGAGGATATACTCCTCGTTCAGACGGCGACGCAGACGCCAGTAGAAGTATCGTCGGGAATTCACCCACTCCAGTGAGTCGCGGATAGTGCCCTTGGCCTTCATGCGTCCAGCGCGGTCGTGCAGGTCGGCAAACTGCACGGCAATCTGGGCGTAGACTGGTAGCAGCTCCTTCTCTCGAGCAACGACCTTCTTCTTGATCTCAGCGGCTTCCTCAGGGGTCAGGTCCCTGTTCTCGAGCTGCTTCTTCAGGTTGGCATAAGTGGTGTCCATGCGGGCCATAGTCTCAAGCTGCTTTTCCTTGCGGTACTTGATACCAATGATACCCTCGGGTTCGAGAACACCACCGCGGGCCTCAACATCGGCGTACATCTCCATGGCAACAGGGTTAATGGTGGGATCAACAACGACCCAAGATCCGCCACGGAGCTCGCCGAATGGTGGGATGTACACGAAGATGGGCTGCTCATATTTGACGAGAGCGTCGACGATGAATGAACCGTACTTGAGGACTTCATTGTACATGTCTCGCTGACCACCAGAGAACCCTCTCCAGTTAGCCAGGATCATCAATGGCAACTGCTCACCGTAATTGAAGTCATTGATGGCCTGGGCCGTCTTGAAAGCTGAGTTGGGGTACCAGACGCCACCAGCTTCATTGGTGACTTGCTCGATAGAGTCGGGGTTGGCGGGGTCGGCGGGGGTAATGTTCTCAACAGAGCGAGTCTCAACAGCGATGACGCCCATGGGGATGCCACCAAGACGAGCACGGCCGACAACAACAGTTCGTGCCCAGCCGCCAAGGGTCTCAACAAAGGAGTCCTTGTCAAACAGGCCGCTCTGGAAGCTGCCGTCTTCGTCATGCTTGCCAGAAATCATCCAGCGAACATCAAAGGCCTGCTTCTGGGGTGGACAGTAAACAACGTCACGGTCCCAGGAGTCGGAACTGGGGCTAACGGGGATGGGTCCGTTGCGCTTCTCTGGGACGAATGACATCCACTCGACGATACGAGAAACACCAGCAAAATCATCGTTGGCAGTCATGTGAGAAACACCGTTACGGTACATGATTTGAGTACCTCCGAGCTGCAGGTTAGAAGTGTATACCTCACGACCAAGCAGGTTGTTCAAAGCCGGGGCACCGGTCAAGATGATGGGCTGGCCCTCAATCTGGACGGCACGCTGGCCAAGACGGACTAGGTAGGCACCAATACCTATGGTAGTGTTAGGCCAGGGACCTATAAGCAGAATCAAAAAACAGAGTGATGTAACTTACCAACTGATCGGCAGGTGACCAAGGTCACGGTGAAAATGTCGTTGTAAGCACGGCTGGTGGCACCAGCTATGAGACCGGATCCTCTCAGACATTCAACACCAAGACCATCCTCACGTCCGACAATGGTGATAATCTTGTGGCGTTTCTCGCCATCTTCAGTGACCTCCTCTGTAATGACCTCATCTTTGAAGTTCTCTTTGGTCTTCTCGTCCAAGTACAAGTAGCGGAAACCGGCGTCCTGCTTGGCAGGATCATTCCATGCGACCTTGAAGAAGGGCATCAGCTCATTAGCAAGACCCAGGCGGGCACCAGAGTTAGCAGACAGATAGATGCGAGGAATGCCAAGCTTGCGAGCCAATTCGGTGCATCTGTTGAAGAAATTGTCCTCTTTGGGACCGAAGGAACCAATGTTGTAGGTAATATCGTTAGCAACGACAATGAAGCGGCGACCGGTAGGGTACTCGGGCGTGCGGGCTTTGAAGATCCAACCCACCATACCGCAGGCGTTTGTGCCAGGCTCACGGTTGACCTCCTGGAGGGTGTCCTTGTCGTCGAGAACAAGTTCGGTGTAAGACGCGCACTCGCCAACCTTGGGCTGCTGGGAAGCCAGAGCAGGCTGGTCTTTGACAGCCTTGGCCCAGCTGTTCTGAATAGCCTGACGGAACAGCTCAGGGAAATCGTAGACGTACTGAGTTCCCATGAGGTGAGCCTTGTATCGCTTAGGTTGTAGAGCATTCTTGGTTGCATACGCCGTGGTGACAGGGAGCAAATGGAGAGGACCTTTCTCGCTGGTACCACCGATACTGTGGAAAATCCATTCACCCTTCTCCGATTTTCGCTCAGCATACATATCAACGTCCACGACATACCCAGAAGTGTTGGTGATGACGACCCGAAGAGGGTAGGGAGTGCTGGTCTGGGGATCTGTGCAAATAATACGGATTTCAACCTGAGCAACACGCAGTCGCCAACCACGGGCACCAAAACGATCCAGGAATCCTTGAAGACTCTGTTCAACAGCCTTGGGGTCGAGCTGGAACACGGGGGTAAAGTTCATGAAGATGTGGTTAAGATCAGAAGAGTTGTTGCCAATAATCTCAAGGGCATCAAAGATATCATTGATGACGCGGTCAGCCTCAGAGATGAGATATTCAGCAGTAGGAATCTCGTCACGAAGACGGCCAGGACGGATGACGGCGCGGGTAAAGTATCTCTTGTCGGTGTCGACAGCCTTGCCAATCGCCTCGTAGACGTGGATATTCTTGTTCTCGGTAAATACGGGCTTGATGTGGAATTTGGCAAGACGGCCCAACTCGAGCTGGAACGCAAGAGCAGGTTCGCTGTGACGAATGCTGTCATCTTCAAGATATTCAGGGCCTCGGAAAGTGAAGTAACCGGGATAAGAACCGTCACCGTGACCGCAGATGAATGTCAGGCGACGCACACCACGGACCAACAACTCGCTTCGGAATTGCTCCACGATGGGCTTGATGCGGGTCAAGAGCTCTTTGTCGTCGTTGCTCTCGGCATCACGGACAGCAACATTAAGGACAGCAGATAGCTCGTCGTCAGTCTTGGCATCTTTCTGAACTAAATTGAACGGCTTGCGCCTGCCACTGAGGTCTTTGAGAATGGCAGTGGCATTATGCTGGCGGTTCTGCTTGTTGTGGAAGGCCAGCGTCTCGAGGGCCTTCTGAAGAAGCTCTTCAGCATCATCGAGGTACTTGCATGGAATAATGATTCCCTTCCGAGTAGGCTCCTCATCCCACTTGCTGGTCAGGTAAGACATGTCGCTGATGGAGTAAATGCGCTTGACGTTCATATCCGGAACTCCAGGCGTACCTGGAGTAGAAGGAGCAGCGGACTGCAGAGGAAGACCAAACTCGGACTGGCCAATCTTGCGCAGCTGGAAATCCCAAGAGACGAATTGGGGAGAGTCAGTCTCGTCATTGTGGTAGTCAACCTGCTTCAAGATGTAGGCACGGTAGGCCCGGCGAACATAGACTTCCAGGGCAGCCAGCCCCACCCAGGGGTCCTCGTGGGCAAAGAAGAGAGGAAGGACGTCGAAGACTGTGTACTTGGAGTCGACAACTTCCTTGATGACGTCGAGATTCGGCTCACGGTGGTCCCAGCCACTCTCTCCGTAGCGAGACTCAATGACCGAGGATCGCAGAATATGCTCCATCTGAGCGGTACGCTCCTCGAGCGAAGGAAGAGAGCACTGAATCATGATCTCACGAGCCTTGAGAGATACCTTCGAAGTAGAACGAGATGAAAGCTCAGTCAGCTTGCGCAGGGGCTCACGCAAGTACTTGCTTATGTTACCAACGTTAGGCTTGTTGGGACGGTACTCATCCAGAATAGCAAGGATGAGTGAGCTCTTGGCACCGACACGACTGTGGGAGAGGACTGTCTGCACAACCTTGGCAAGATTATCCTTGTTCTGGTCACGGAGTCTGAGGATAACACTATCCTCTTGAGCTTGGCTGAGGAACAACTTCTCAACATCAACATACGTCTCGATCAAGGACTGGATGAAGTTGAGCTCATGAACCTTTGAGCCCTCAGCATAAGCATGGAGAACTTCAGACAGAGGAGCGAGAGTCGTCTTCAAGGTTTCAGCGTCGTTTGCGGGGAGACCCTCTTCAAGGAACTTTTGGAATGCTTTCTGGAGAGCCTTGGCTGGGAAGTCGGCGTGGCGAGACTTGGCTCGCTCAACAATTTGAGCAAATTGTGCATCCAACTTCTGAGGCATACGGGCGTGGAGGGCCGAAAACTGAGCATTC